ACCTTACTTGTTATTGAAAATAACTAGCTTATAGCTGCACTTGAGAGGGTTCCAAGGTCATGGCACATGCAGCCAGCCTCAAGTGATAAGGAACCTTCAGAGACCATTCTGAAAGGACTTGAAGTTTTAAAACTTTTCATAATTCCTGCTGGCATTTCACTCAATGGACAGATCACTTTGGTTAGTTTATAGTGGAGAGCCCTCCAAATTCTTAGCTAGGGGATGTCCCAGCAGATCTCACATTGGAAGCACAAGACTCAAAGAATGGAACTTTATTACGGTAAATCTGAAGAATGGTGGAACTTCAAAAAGAAACACCATCAATTTAAACATTACATGTCAGTCTGAAAATTGCTTACCACTAATGTTACAAGTAAAACTCAAGATTACTAGCAACAAATGAAAAACAGTTGTTGTCTAATGTATGTAGTTAGTTTCACTGTTTCCCCTGTATAGTCAGTCAATTTCCCCTGTTTATGTGGGTCTTTCAAACAGTAACTGGAAAGATTTTTAAAAATGGGAAAGTGTGATTGCAAAACCATAAAGTGTCAGAGACTCAAAGGAAGGTGCAACACCTGAAACTATTTTTAACTCATTTTTTAGAGTGATTAGATTTCAAATTGATGTCCCTTTAGAGCCAAACTAAACGAACCACTAGGGCTGGCAGGAAGATGAGCTGTATAATCCAGATGTCTTTCCTATTTCTAACTTCAAAGAAAGCGTTCACACTCATATGTGGCTGTTCTTAAAAGGGGCAAAAGGTCCCTAGTGTCATTTGACACAATTAGAATTCACAAATAGATTTTTTTTAAACAATGCATACAAAGATAGTAGCCAAAATAAATTAAGCGAATGTAGGAGTTTACTGTAAGTGACAGAAGCAGTATGAAAAGATTTAGAAAGTGAATAGTAATGCCTGATATTTTGTCAATAGGAAACATTAAGGGAGTCTGAAAATTTGTGATGCAAGAATCTAATTTTTAGGAATGTAATGTACCAAAAGCTAAGAGATTATGTAAAGAAAGTCACAGAAACCTCATGAAAGGCTAAATTAACTTGTCCATCCATCTGTGAAGTTTCTGGAAGCTTCTAAGAATATTTTCCTGGAGCCAGAATATCTGTAATTCAATATCACCTAGCTGTTCTACAAACCACTCAGGAATATTATATCATTTCATACTACCTCCCTGATTCATTCCTTCTACAATACTAGTAGTTGGTAGTTCAAAGCCTGCACCATCTTCCATTATAGGATTTATATTTCACAAAAGCTGACAGAGAATAAAGGATCCTAGTTGAAGGTTTGGCTACCATTTTTGATCCATCTGATATTGATTTTTCTTGCTATGACTATATTAAAAACAGAAACTTCAAGCTTGAATTTCTGTCAAGTTTTCTTAACTGTATCATGCATAGATAGTTGGCAACTTTATCTTCCCAGAAATGCCATGGGGACAAAACAAGAAACAGTTCCCAGTAATCCCCTCTGCATTCCCCCACCACTTCTGGACTGCACAACAACGCAAACCACAATCATTCAGTATGTGCGCCATTTACCAGTTAAAACTACAAATACATCCCCTCTACAATGCACTTTCTGGGGGAGCAAGTAACAACAGAATAGCTCTGCTAACGCCACATTTAACAGATAGGCAGGAGCCAAGTCAACTTTCATGTACTAGAGTATGCCCCTCCCATACCCACTTTTTGTACTTGGCTTGGTTTGTAAATCAATTGATTAAAAAAAATCTCTTCTAGTCTGGATAACCTTTAGTCATTGTCTGAAAGCCCTAATTCTGAGATTTATTTAAAAAACTGGCACAGCCATGGAACTCTTTTTTTCCACAAACAGGTTAGTGAATGAAAAGCATTACATCCCTCAAATAAACTGACAAAATTAAAGGTGAACCACGAAGTAACTGTGAATTAAATAAGTTTCTGTGCTGAATGCCCTCTACCAGAGGGGTTGTTGCAGGGTCATTCAGCACAGAAGTTGTTTAAACAAAAATTAAACTAATTGCCTCTCAAATCCTCTTGGTACTTCCTGGATCACCAATGTATCCCAGAATGCAAGATCACAAACACCAGAAGTCTTACTGCAACATATGTAATCTAGACTTGTGATGTCACAGCATGATGCTATTTGATAGAGCTTCAAGGAACCAGAAAGTGCCAGGAGAGTTTCAAGGCAAGAAGTTTTCAAAGGTTACTTACAACTTATTTCTGTGCTGAAAGTCTCCCACAACCTGGTTAGCATAGCATGCAGAAAAGAAATATGCTTAACTCAAATTTCCCTTTTGCTTTCAAGCTCATCTTTAAGGATGTTTACTTTGATAATTTCTAGTTGTAACATAAAAGAGTGTTCTTTTTTTCCTAAACTCTATCAACAAATGTAATAGAAGCTGGATTAAAATAGAAAACTAGAGACATATTTTTTGAGGGAAAAAGTTTCTAGACAATATATTTACACAGATAGCTAAGACAAAAGAAAAAATTGGGAAGGTATTGTAGGAAGAATTCCCTTGCAAAGCATTAATTTTAAGAAAAATAATGTAAGAATTCACTGGATCCCTGGCTGCTTTGTTCAGTGTTAAAATGAGGGACAATTGCACTCACTCTTCACTTGAATGACGAAACGCATTAGAACAGGAGTATTTGCTCCCAAAGCAGTAGGTGGCAACCAATGCCAGTAAACTCACCACTATATTTCAAAGGAGGAAAGTCAGAGAAGTCAAGTCTAGCGTCAATTACTATTTAACTGAATCAGATATCCAATATCAAGACAAATGCAAATTCTTCCGCAAACAACCATTTTGGGGACTGCAAGCTCTTAAATTACTATTCAGCCTAAAAGTATCAATGCAGAGTAGGTGCTTACTTTTCACTAGACTGTTTTTCATATCCAGTTGAAAGGGTGATTTTAACATTATTTTCTAGTTGTGCAGTGCTAGTGCGACAGACTATCGCAAAACCAATATAAACCAAATACAGACATATCACTCAGCTACAACTAGCTTTTAGTAAAGACTTCAATAGACAAAGTTATGCCAACGTTAGCAGGAAAAGAAAATTTTCTTTTTAAAAAGTTTCCCTTTAAAATAAAAAGGACATCTTTCTAGTACTTTACACATTTTGCCCAGACCTCCTTTTTCATTTTTCCACTAAAGATTTAGCTTAGCAAGCTGTTTTCAAAATATTTTTTTTCCTGGAACTGATTCAAAGTAGAATCTATGGATTCTTTATGCTACTGTATTTCTGTAGTCTATTCAAAACAGATTTCTCCCATTTCTAAGCCTTTTAGAAAAAAGTTATAAAATTGTGGGAATTAAGCCCTGTTCTGCAGCTGAAGAAAAGTGGCAAAAACTACACTACTTCATAAGTGGAATTTTATTTAGCTGAAGTTTTACACCAAATCCCCCAACCAAAACCTCCACTGAAATCCTCCGAGATGCTTCTTTTTAAACAGGCAGTGCAAAAAGATGCATTAACTCTGGAACATGTCTACACCATAACCACCCCACTGTACCATGCTGGAAGAACTGGACACAACATCATTAAAAGAGGGCTCTATCTTGTGCACAAGAGTTAACTATGCCTTGCTACAATGCTCCTCTGGCCAAGCCTGTAGCAGTTTAGTCTATCAGTGCTTCAAGATGGGACTTCACCATGTCCCCAGCATATTAACCTTGCCAGGAGACAAACAAGTTGTAAATACCACCCACAGATTTGTGTAGTTTAGGTGAACCATATGTTTTTAACGCCCTGTCTGTGTACATTCTTAGTATTCTGGGAGCGAGCGTTGTAACCTCCTAGCTGTAGGTAAAATCAGATGGTAATCTGATAACTAAGCGAAAGGAATAAAATCAAGGCAGGTGAACAAGAGAGACCAGCCTACATGAAAGAATACCAGGTAGCAACCCTAATTTTTTCATATTACCTCCCCAGAAGGAAGTACTGGACAGAACAGTCAGATGGCGGGACACGAGGGCTTACACTTTAAGAAAATGGATCCCCACCAATACATGGACCAATATTGAGTCAGTGGCTACCCACCCTCTTCTTTTATGAGGATTCTCTGTTCTGTGCCCCATTAGGACGACCCCCCTACCGCTGCCGTTCAGTCACAAACAGTTGGTTACACGTCTCTCTCTGTGCCCAGTCAACACAGAACTACAGCCCCAGCTATTGAGCCCGGTTCTTCGGCTCCCGCTGTGGAGAGACAGGCTTCCTGCTCTAGAGGTGCCCGTGGGGGGACACACAAGGCTGGGTGCCCAATGGGCTGCGTGTGCTCTAACCCACCACTGCTCTGCAGCCATTCCAAACGCCCCGCTAAGGGGCAGAGCCCCCCCCACCATGTAACGCAGGCCTGAGAGCCAGACAACTTGGGGGCTGCGGGCCCAGGCTGATTTGGCAACTAGTCAGCATCCTGGTCTCTCTCACCCAGCCACAGCAGGCCTGGGAACCAGCTCTGGGTCCCTGTAAGGGAGGAGGCCCAACATCTTGGCTGTGTCGGTGGGGGGGTTAGTGTGGAGGGCCCGGGGGGGGGGGCAAGCGACAGTACCAGCAAGGTATAGCAGAGGGAAGGGGGGGGGGGACAGGGAAGGGAAGGGAAGGGGCCCTCCTGTCTTACCGTTTCTTGCTTCCCTGGAGTTAGGAAGGAGCTTGTGAGAGGGTGAAGGGCGAGCAGAGTGGTGGGTGGTGTGGTGGGGGGAAGGGCAGAGTGGTGGGGTGGGGTGGGGGGAGGGGGAAGGGCAGAGTAGTGGTGTGGGGTGGGGGGGGAAGCCGAGTGGGGGGGCCCCACCCCCGCCAGCCCAGCCCAGCCCAGCCCAGCTCAGCCCCGGCCCGCGACAGGAGCGGCGGGTCCCTCGGCCCGAGCCCCACCTCGGGGCCGGCCGGTCTCCCCACTCCACCCCCGGGGCCGCTCCTCCGGCCGGCCCCTCCCTGCGGGCCGGGACGCTCCGCTCCGCCCCGGCCCCGGCCCCCCGGCCCCGGCTGCCCACCTGTGGGCCGGGATGCGCTGCGAGCCGCGGCCCTTGCCCACCAGGAAGTGCACGTCGCTGAGCACCTCGTTGTTGAAGAGGAAGGCGAAGCGCTCCTGCACCGTGGGCTTGGTGGCCTGCCAGTTGTACACCGGCTCCCGCTGCAGGGGGCCGCCCGCTGCCCCGCCCGGAGCCGCCGCCGCCGCCGCCGCCGCCGAGCCCCCGGAGCCGGGACCCCCGGCCGCCGCCGCCGCCGCCGCCGCGGGGTTCCCGGCCCCGCACTGGTTGTAGGTGAGGCCCGGCGGGGAGGCGGGCGGGCCGTTGGTGCAGGCGGCGGCGGCGGCCCCGTTGCCCGGAGGCGGCGGCGGGCCGGAGGAGGAGGAGGAGGAGAGGCCCCCGGGGCCCCCGCCGCTGCCACCGGCCGCCATCTTGTGCGGGGGTGGGCGGCGCTGCGGCAGCACCAGCAGCAGCACGAGCGGCGGGCGGGCGGCGGCGGGGCCCGCCGAGGGGGGCGCGGCGGCGGGGCGGCGGCTGCTGACACACAGGGCCGGGCAGCAGCGGCGCATGGGGCTCGGGGCGCGGCGCGGCGCCGGCCGGCGCGGGTGGGGAGCGCGCAGGGGGCGGGGCATGGGGGAGTTGGGGGGCAGGGGAGAGGCCTGCGGAGGGAGCGGGAGGGTAGAGTTGGGGGGGGGGGGGTCGAGGATGGGGAATGGAGGGGGGGCACGAGCAGGCGGGGCAGGAGATCTGGGGGGCAGGAGGGCGTGGGGGGAGGCACGAGGAGGGTGGGGAATGGAGGCGGGGCAGGAAGGTGTGGGGGGGCACGAGGAGGGGTCAGGAGGAGTGGGGGGCACGAGGAAGGGAGGATGGAGGGTGTGGGGGGGTCACGAGGAGGGGGGCAGGAGGAGTGGGGGGATGGGGGGCAAGAGGGAGTGGGGGGGGCAGAGGAGGGGAGGATGGAGGGTATGGGGGATGTCACGAGGAGGGGGGCAGGAGGGCATGGGGGAGGCACGAGGAGGGTGGGAAATGGAGGCGGGGCAGGAGGGAGGGTGTGGGGGGGCACGAGGAGGGGGGAAGGAGGAGCGGGAGTGATGGGGGCAAGAGGGTGTGGGGCACGAGGAGGGGGAAGGAGAAGCCGGGGGATGGGGGCAAGAGGGTGTGGGGGGCAGGAGGAGGGTGCGGAATGGAGGGTGTGGGGGGAGTCACAAGGAGGGTGGGGGATGGGGGCAGGAGGGTGTGGGGGAGGCATGAGGAGGGTGGGGAATGGTGGGGGGGCAAGAGGAGTGGGGGATGGAGGGGTGGGGGGCACGAGGAGGGGGGATGGAGGGTGGGCGGGCACAAGGAATGCAGGGAAAGGGGTATGTCAGGTGTGAGGACTGCAGAGGGAGCAGTAGGGTGGGAAGGGTGTGGGAGACATGAGGAGAGGTGTGGGGAGCAGGAGGGAGGGGGTATGTCAGTTGTGAGGCCTGCAAGAGGGAGGGGTGTGGGGGCCTAGGCGTGCACAGAGGGGGGCGTGTTCTGGGGTGGGGGAAGGAGTTAGGGGTTGGAGGGAGCCGTGCAATGGGGAGCCTGAGGAACTCCCTGCTGTTTCCACCCCTGTGAAGACTCCAGGTGGGAACTAGGGGGACACGATCACAGCTCCTCTGGGGAGGACACGGCTTTTTTCTTTTTCTTTTTTTTTAATAGGGGGGATCAAAGCTTTTGGAGACAAAACAACTCCTGTGGGGGGCTGCGGGAAGGTTGCCATTGACCTTGCAAGTTTGGGCCCACGAGGTGGATACCTCTGACCCTGGGGGTCAATGGCTTATGGGGAGGAGGCAGCTCCTCCGGAAGGTTAGGGAGCCTGTTGGGGATGAGCAACACTTCAATTTATCCCCTGAAGAATAAGCCTAATGTAACCTTCTTTGCACACGTGCAAACCAAGTCTTTCTAAAAAACAGACACCCAAAACTTCATTGGCACCTCAAGGCTGTGTCGATTAGTGCTCTGTAATCCCTTGCAATCCTTAGGCCAAGGGACTGATGGTCTGTGGCTGATGCACCGGCTGTCCTGCCCGCCAATAAACTGATACTTCATGCTTAACGTCTGCTGTGTAAGAGTGTATTTCACACCCGCCTTGCACCTCGCTCCATTACATGCTGCTGTGGCCATGGAGATCTGTGGGAATGTTAGTGTTCTCCCACACACTGCACTGCAAGAGAACACAGCAGGATGTGCATGATAAGAGATTTTTATCTCATAGCCAGCTGGTATTCCTTACATAGAAAATGGCAGGGAGGTCAGGAGGAACCTGAAAGGCCACTAATCTCTTATCCGTTCTGTGGATGACATTCTGCCCATGGATGTGCATGCACACACATTTGAGAGCAGACTTTTCGTCCTTGGTTCCACGTGTTGAGTAACTGCTCAGCCACGAGGTATATTTTCTTTTCCTTGTTTTTCTGGGGTTTTAATTATCGTTTGCTTAATACACAATGACATGCTGTTTATATTGGTCCAAAGCTCCAAGACTTTTGTGTGTTGCTGGAGTTGCACAGATAAATCACTGCATCCGCCATTGCTAAGGAATACCGGATTACTGCATTCATCTACCCTGCCACTTTACAGCACTGCAACGTTCTCACTCAGGGGTGTGAAAAAACACTCCCCCGAGTGCTGCAAGTTTCAGCGCTGTAAACCGCCCGCGTAGACAGTGCACCAGGGCTGGGAGCTACGCCCTTCGTGGAGGTGGGTTTTTTAGAGCGCTGGGAGAACTCCCTCCCAATGCTGTGCTGTGACTACACAACGGCAGCGCTTTAACGTTGCCAGTGTAGACAAGCCCTTAGTATCAAAAGTTTACACGCTCATTTGGTAACAAATATATGGAGTCTGCTGCGTGACATACATTGACACTGAACGAAGAAGAATGAGGTGTATATATATATATATATGAGGTATATAGACAAATTCTGCTGGATAAGAACCCAATCTTGCAAACACACACATATATGTAAAAATACAAGGTGGGTGAGGAAAGTTGCAGTGGGGGAGATTTAGGTTGGATATTAGGAAAAACTTTTTCACTAGGAGGGTGGTGAAACCCTGGAATGTGTTACCTAGGGAGGTGGTGGAATCCCCTTCCTTAGAAGTTTTTAAGATCAGGCTTGACAAAGCCCTGACTGGGATGATTTAGTTGGGATTGGTCCTGCTCTGGGCAGGGGGTTGGACTAGATGGACTCCAGAGGTCCCTTCCAACTCTGTTATTCTATGATTCTATGAAAGATTTCTTGTATGGATTGTAATTGTTTAATGATACTACATATGGGTTCCAGTGTGGGGTAGCAGGTGACAACTAGGGTTGTGTGGTTGGAGATAAAAGACGTTACCTCACCCACCTTGCTCTAATATCCTGGGACCAACATGGCTCCAACACCACTGTGAACAACATGTAAGTTATTCACATGCATAGTCCCCATTGACTTAAGGGAAACTGCTCATATGATCAAATGACAGGTTTCAGAGTAACAGCCGTGTTAGTCTGTATTCGCAAAAAGAAAAAGAGGACTTGTGGCACCTTAGAGACTAACCAATTTATTTGAGCATGAGCTTTCGTGAGCTACAGCTCACTTCATCGGATGCATACCGTGGAAACTGCAGCAGACTTTATATACACACAGAGAACATGAAACAATACCTCCTCCCACCCCACTGTCCTGCTGGTAATAGCTTATCTAAAGTGATCATCAAGTTGGGCCATTTCCAGCACAAATCCAGGTTTTCTCACCCTCCACCCCCCCACACACAAACTCACTCTCCTGCTGGTAATAGCCCATCCAAAGTGACAACTCTCTACACAATGTGCATGATAATCAAGTTGGGCTATTTCCTGCACAAATCCAGGTTCTCTCACCCCCTCACCCCCCTCCAAAAAACACACACACAAACTCACTATCCTGCTGGTAATAGCTCATCCAAAGGGACCACTCTCCCTACAATGCGCATGATAATCAAGTTGGGCTATTTCCTGCACAAATCTAGGTTCTCTCACCCCCTCACCCCCTCCAAAAAACACACACACAAACTCACTATCCTGCTGGTAATAGCTCATCCAAAGTGACCACTCTCCCTACAATGTGCATGGTAATCAAGGTGGGCCATGTCCAGCACAAATCCAGGCTTTCTCACCCCCCCCTTCCCCCCCCCGGGGACGGACACACACACACAAACTCACTCTCCTGCTGGCAATAGCTCAATAGCTCATCCAAACTGACCACTCTCCAAGTTAAACTTGGATTTAAACTTGGAGAGTGGTCAGTTTGGATGAGCTATTGCCAGCAGGAGAGTGAGTTTGTGTGTGTGTGTCCGTCCCCGGGGGGGGGGGGGGAAAAGGGGGCGGTGAGAAAGCCTGGATTTGTGCTGGACATGGCCCACCTTGATTACCATGCACATTGTAGGGAGAGTGGTCACTTTGGATGAGCTATTACCAGCAGGATAGTGAGTTTGTGTGTGTGTTTTTTGGAGGGGGGTGAGGGGGTGAGAGAACCTAGATTTGTGCAGGAAATAGCCCAACTTGATTATCATGCGCATTGTGTAGAGAGTTGTCACTTTGGATGGGCTATTACCAGCAGGAGAGTGAGTTTGTGGGGGGGGGGGGGGGGGGTGGAGGGTGAGAAAACCTGGATTTGTGCTGGAAATGGCCCAACTTGATGATCACTTTAGATAAGCTATTACCAGCAGGACAGTGGGGTGGGAGGAGGTATTGTTTCATGTTCTCTGTGTGTATATAAAGTCTGCTGCAGTTTCCACGGTATGCATCCGATGAAGTGAGCTGTAGCTCACGAAAGCTCATGCTCAAATAAATTGGTTAGTCTCTAAGGTGCCACAAGTCCTCCTTTTCTTCATATGATCAAAGTTAGTGATTGCAGGATCGGACCCTAAATTCTGCACTCAGAGACACGCATGGCAAAGAGCAGAATTGGCTTTAATATAGATGATCTCTATATGGATTATAATTATTGAGTTTGTTACATTTAACAAATATGTTGTTTCTTTTTTTGTACTTGGTTTGGTGGCTACTGAGATTTGATTGTCCAAGAATTAAATGAATACAAGCATTACTTTAAAGGGACACTCTTTTTTATTTTAAAAATATATTTCTCTCTCATTCTAATATAACAGAGCAATGAACACCAAAATAAGGTTTAAAACCTCATCTATGTTCTGGCTTTTACGCTGTTTGCTCTACACCTTGCAGGATGGGCCATTTTGATGATGTGTTGTTTTTATGCATCTTTGCAAGTATCAACACAAGCTTTCCAACTGCAGTCGCATGCTGGCTTTGGATGTTTCGCGCAGAAGCTGAACATTAGGGGGAGCTAAAGACTGCTGCATGAATGCGAATCGGAATCCTTCCCATGCCGTCAGATTATTGTTTAGGTTAGAGATGGGGGTTATTGGACACTGTGATGAATCTTGTCATTTGTTAAAAA